CGAGAGGCGAACGCACTCATGCAAATGCTATCTACCAACTCAGGTAAATGGTGAAGTACTCACCTCCCCCTCAGTTGTCCCGCGACTGCATCATGATGAGCACAAGCTGTCTCCTCGTGAGACGAGTGCGTTCAATTCATGCTTATCTCTCACAAGAAATTAGCAATGAATGCAGGGCGCATCCAACTCCCTCGAGAGCTGAACGTACTTGCTCTTCACGACACACACACAGCACGCGAGCTGTGTGAAACGGCAGGTACAGAGCAAAGCCTCTGGCGAGAGAACATGCACTCCTAGTCGTGTTTAGCTTAACACTAACATAAACAAACAGTCAGTGAAGATGAATAAGAGGATGACGTGTTATCTCGGCGCTCTTTTATACTTTGATTGCGCAGGGTAATGACGTCATAGGCTGTCGCCGGCCAATGTTATTGTCGTATTTAGACGTAAGCTTCAGACACTGGTCAAGCTGAAGGGGTTCCCCATAGCGACCCCTAGAGGACACAGTTCGAAGTTCCCTCGAAAGGGAACAGAGAGTTGCTTAACTGGCATTAATTCACATTTGAGTACATTGAAATGAAGCCCAAAAGCAATGGAAAACATTTTAATAGTATTAAGTGCTAAGGGAATCTGGTCTGAATTTTTTTTAGGAAAAGTGTAGTATCATCAGCCAATTGACTGCTGATGACTCCCCTCAGCATGGTGGCGTGGGTATACCGTTCCCCATAGCGACCCCTAGAGGACACAGTTCGAAGTTCCCTCGAAAGGGAACAGAGAGTTGCTTAACTGGCATTAATTCACATTTGAGTACATTGAAATGAAGCCCAAAAGCAATGGAAAACATTTTAATAGTATTAAGTGCTAAGGGAATCTGGTCTGAATTTTTTTTAGGAAAAGTGTAGTATCATCAGCCAATTGACTGCTGATGATCTCCCTTCACATGACACTAACCCCTTGCAAGGTGCTATTCTTAATGTGATTGTTTAATAATCGAGGAGTCAATATAAACAAATATGGCGAAATGGGGCACCCCTGATGTATTGCCGCTGCAGTTCAAATCTTGAAGAGGTACCATACTTAAGCTTAATGGAAAAGTTACCATGGGCGTATAGAGTTTTGACTGCTTTAATGAACAGGTCCCCAAAACCAAATTTTTCTAAAGTTTTAAATATAAAATCAGGTTCGATAGAATTGAAGGCTTTGTAAAAGTCCAGAAAAAGCATATAACTATCATCCCTCACTAACTCTGAATAGTCTAACAGATCAAGAACCAACCGAATATTGTTTGAGATGTGTCTGTTTTTTTTAGAAAGCCTGATTGTGTTTCATTATGTCCTCTAAAATAATTTTTTAAAATTTTGCTAAGATTGTAGCAATAATTTTTTAATCACAATTTAAAAGACTAATCAGACTAATTATCAGTCTTTTTTTAGGCTTGGGGGATGAGAGTTATTAAACGTTGAGTTAGGGTAGACGGAAGAGATTCCCTAATGCTTTCATATATAACTTCTAGTAAAAAAAAGGGGACAAATCTTTTGCAAATTTTTGGTAAAATTCAGAAGTAGTCTGTCTATGCCTGGCGATGTATTAACCTTTAAATATTTGATAGATTCAAGAACCTCAGCTAATGTGATGGGACAATCACAAAAATCTTTATCAGGAGCACTAATACAATTAATATTATCTACAGAGTCCATAAAGGATGTAGTGCTGTCATAACAGAATCGACTGCTATAAATAATCTTATAGAATTCAGAACAATATTTGGCAATTTATTTTGGGTCTTCAGAGACAGAGTTACCGATTTCTACTGATGAATGTTATTTTTAGTTAGAGATTTTTCTAACCTAAAAAAAGTAAGCTGAATTTTGTTCTCAGTGTCTTCTGGACCTTACAAACGCACCTTCAGCTTTTAATTTATAAAGTTAGTCCAATTTGTGCTGATACTCAAAGAGACTGTTACTTTCTTCCACAGATAAACTATCAGGGCATTCAGATGACAGGTATGCAATGGTGGAAATTATGTCCTCTTCTTGGGCTCTTTTGAGTTTTGCAATTTTACAACAATAACTTCTGAAAAACTGGCCCAATTCAAATGTAAGCATCTCCCAGTGTTTGCCATAAACCCATTCTGCTTTGGCTTTAGTCCAAAATTAATGAATTAATTACTTTACTGTAAGAATAACAGTCTCATGTTTCAGTACAGAGCTGTTAAGTTTCCAATAGGAGTTATTGGAAATGATAGGAGTTATAGGAGTTAAATATTAGTAGAGGACATTGTCAGTTGATCAATATGGATTTGTATTGCTTTATGATCAGTTAATGGGGTAGATAAAATATCAGTATTCAGATTGTCTTCAAGTGTATGGGAAATTAACCATAAATCTATTATCGATTGCTTAGACCTTGAGTTATTACACTAAGTAAAGGCTGTGTTATGATGATGATAAACTCTCCAAGCTTCAATTATATCAAATCTTTGCATTAACATTTTTAGCTTTACATTTGTATTAGTACAAGAGCCAGGAGGCTATTTATCAATCATATTATCTAATGTGATATTAAAATCACCACCCAAGAGTATGAGTGCATCAGGGAACTTGACTAACTAATGAACATTTTTTCTCGTCTATCCTATCTAAATGTAAATAATATTCTGCCTTTGAATTGTACCCATAAATATTTATGACAATGAAATTAAAGTTGAAATTTAAAATATGACACGTATAATGTACATTAGTATCTAAGTCCGTATAAGGAAGTTTACCAGTGAATACGTTTTTGAGCGTACAAACACCCACAGAGCGTTGAGAAGCATGAGAAGCAACAAAAAATGTATTTTCCCCACTGGGATTTCCAAAACGTTTTATATTGTTTGGCAAATAAAAAAATGACTTTCCATTTTAAAGTGTTCCTTAGGAGTGAACAGTGTAGTTAGATAAATACATCACAATAACAACATTTGAAGAAAATAACATACTGTAAATAGAAGTCACTGGAGCAAATTTCATAAAATAGAAGCTTAAAGACAGCTACTAACTGTGATGAGAACATAGCGCCACATCAACTGTGACTGCTTTGGGTATAAACGGACAAAACATGACATCAACTGATATATGGTCCTGGTCAAAAGGAGGCGAAGAAAGAAACAACTTGTATCTATTAAAAAACAAAACATGTTAACAAAAAAACATATCTCAAAGTTGAGATCATTCAGCCTGATGAAAGATCTCCTTTTTTTCCACAAAGGCACGACCACCTACAAAGTAGGCAATCTTTCCTGCTTGCCGTGCCTCATCTACTAATGGCCACAATTTCATCCTGCTTTCTTTGTCGGCCTTATAGAGATCCTCTCTGAAACGCAGACCGTTTTCCTGTAGATATGCTGAATTTTTGGCTACTGCTCCTCTGTGTGTACTCAAGGAGAACTGGATAATTATTCCGTGGATAGAATTCACTTTCTTCATACCAACACAATGCACTGTGTCAATCACATCCGGAAGACGATCAGCATGTTCTGGCAGTAATTTCTGACAAATGAATCACTTCTTTCCTCACATTTTTCTCATCAATGTTTTCTGGCACGCCGTGTAATTTCAAATTCCAGCACCTGGAGTACTGTTCCAATTCAGCGATGTGTGACTCTAATACGCCGATTCAATTACTCTCCTTCAACAGTGATGACTTGACCTGGGAAACTTTGGTCTTCACCTCATTCACATCATCACATACGGAGTTCAGCTTTTCTCTCAATCCAGCAATGTGAGAAGTATTTACCACAACCATTGACTCCAGCTTATCATGTTGATGAGCTCAGAAAGTTTTGTAATGTTATCAGTGGACTCACCATGGCTTTTTTTAGGGGGAGGCTTCAAAGGTGTAGTAGGGAGTGAGGGGAAATCTACTGATAACTCCAAAAATTCTATTTTCTCTTCAGGCCCATAATAATCATGACAGCTGTCAACTGGGATGTTGCAGGCAGTAGCAGAGCTAGCTGTCAGCAGGCATTTCTTTCTTCTTCATCACAGAATTCTTTCTTACCAGCTGACATGTTTCTGAACAAATTTTGGTGCAGGAGTAGTACTCAACTTCCAAATAAGGCAGATATTGGGCGCTATAACTCAACACCTATGCTCATGGCGCCATCTTGCGCGCTTCCCCGATGTGTTTTGTTTTCGGTACAGTTGAATCAGTTGTCATATTAAACATTATTTTAATGCCAACAGCAGTTTATCAAATAAGACCGGTTACTAATAGTACGTGCTCCAATAAATGACAAGTCTAGTAATTACAGAGGTCTGATATTAATTGAGAAAATCCTTCATTCTTTCAACATTTTATTCTCATTACAGTGTTTTTTTTCCCCCACCTCAGGAGACATAAATTACATGCTCTATCTGCAGACCCATTAATCAAAGGACTGCAGTGGAGTCTCCTGTTCTTAAAAATGCAGCTTTAGATGGGCTGTTAGTAAAATGAATAAGGCATAATGGTTCATGTCCAGTGGGGGCAAATATGTTTTAAAAAAAAATTAATTAAATTAAATTGTATCCAGTGCTTGTTTTGCCTCAACATTGCTCTTTTAATGTTCATTCTGCAAAGCATTGTTAGCGGATAAAATGACTGATACTATGTATCAAAATGACCATTATTTAAATATCAGTTCATAAAGTAACACAACCTTTTACAAAGAATTTCATAAATACTATCATTCAAAGCTTTTATGTTATCTATTTGATTTTTAAGCTTCTCTCATGGTGAACTGTGAAAAATTAGTTATGGCAATATGAAAACCATGGTGTTGTCACAGATATGGACTTTGTTTCTGTGTTTCCATGTTCTCCCGCCTTGTTTTGGTCTTTGACCCAGTTTCTTTTTCCCCTCGATTGCCTTATTCAGTTCACCTGTGTCGAGTTAATTAAGTCCTTAGTCCCTCATTTGTGTTTGTATAAAGTCTCCCCATTTTGTTTGCTGAGTTGTCGGTTTTTGTTCTATGATATTTGTGTTTGGATGTACCCCTAATCATCATGATCAGTAAAAGTCCTTGTGGAATAGTCTTCTTCGTGCACATTGTTTTGCACAAGACATGACAGGTGTCTTGGAGCCAGATGATATTGTGTAAATTGAAACTGTTTTAATTTCGTATTTATTTATTTTTATCCCCCACATTCCTTCCAACACTATAAAAAGTGTGGGGTCTGAACAAAGCAATTTGTTATCTTTTTATTTAAGGTTTGCCGTCAATCCATGACATCTGGTAACAATCAGATTCTGACATCTGGCCTTCAGGTATTTACTTGTCAACAAGTTTCCATATAACTTAAATATTTGTTTTCCTCATCTACTGTGTGTTGGTAGTGGTAGATCAAGTCTCATAGTCTTTTCAATTAATATATATATATATATATAAGTCAGTTTATACATTTAAGCTCACAAATGAAAAAAAAAATCAAACAATTGAACAAATAATGCAAACAATGATGTAAAATATTAATGATGAACAATAGAACTAAAATTTTACCACTGACGGCTAGAATATAAGATAAATAAGATATTATTCTAATCTGCTTTGTCCTTTTTATGGCAAGTTTTACACATTTGAAAGACCTGAATATGTACTCCAAATATGTATAAAATGATCATAAAACTGAAATTGTAGTTCAAATGTAAAGATTTTACAGTGGGGTCAAAAAGTCTGAGACCACAAAAAAAAAAAAAAAACTTTGTGGTTTTGAGAAATGTTATAGTGTAAAATGAATATTTAAAGTTATGTTCTAGGTCACTAATGAACTGAAAATTAAAACTCATCTGTACGGACAGTCTTATCAGTCGTATTGCTTACTTCTCAAGTCATGCTGGAGAACACGATCATCTGGTTTTGTTCATGTCAGCTCATGTTTATTCTGCTGTCATTAAGTAAAATGGGAACATTCCACATACTAAAACATCCTGACATTTTTTCACTTCACTTTTTATTCAAATTTGAATTGAATAATAAGCACATTAAATAATTTGAAAAGGGTTGATGTTATACTAGGAGCTAATAAACCCTGTCTCTTCAACTAACATTTTTTTCTTTCTCTTGAACAGAAAACATAAATCAAATAAATATCATGGAAATAAAGTTAGTTGAAAGTAAAGGTACAGCAGAAGTCACCTTGCACATAACATGCACAGCATGGGATTAAAATACTCATTCCACATGGATCCCACATGGCAATTAATCTTGAACAAACAGTCATGCTGGGGCCCTGCTGCCTGCTAGTATGAATATAAAATCTTACACAGAAGACTTGTTGAGAGTTAAAGGGGTCCTATTATGCTTTTTCACTTTTTCAACTTTAGTTAGTCTGTAATGTTGCTGTTTGAGCATAAAAAAGATCTGCAAAGTTACAAAGCTCAAAGTCCACTTCAAAATGTGATATTGTATTTAACAGAAATCACTTTTCAAAAACTACAACGAATGACTCATGTAAAATATGTGAAAAATAATGTGTTTTTCGAACAATCTAGTATGAGAGCCTGTTCTAGTACACCCCCTAAACAAAATCAAAACTTTGTAAAAGAGCATAATAGGACCCCTTTAAGAATGTATAAAGAGATTGCAAATGTTAAGTCATTCAAGTAGTTTTGCTGTTTGATGGTGGTTTAGATTGTAGTTCAATATAGTTTTAACTGGAAATGTTTTTCAATGTTTTAATCAATGGCTGCTTGTGTGGCCAGTCCAGTTTAATTTATTTACATTCCCGCTGAATTTAACTTACATTACACTCATAATTGACCATAAAGTGATTGAATCCTGGTTTCGGGTGCCAGTGATAACACATCTTGATATTTGGGCTTTGCATCACTTAGCAGATGATAACTAATACTGACGTCTTAGCCTGATAACAATCTGTTGAGCAAGGATTCTGCAGAAATCACAGTGGGCACCAAGACCTAGCCATATTCAGACATTGAGATATATATTTATTTCAAGCTCTTTGTGAAATTACCCAGCTGTGCCAAACCTGAATGGACACCCAGAGCTTACCCATGTAGAGGTACTATCTTACAGTTTTTCTCGATTGCTAACACAATATAACTGATTCATTTGGCCCAATTTTCCAAACCATTCATTCAGTTTTCGAAACAAAGACACATTTCTCAAAACATTTAACACATTTTACCTGTTTTTACACACGTTCCAGTTTGCTCTGTGTTTTCTGCAAAAATCTACACAAAAGTGCCTACATGTTTACATGTAGTGCCTACATGTAAAAACTACATGTTCTTGCGCATGAGGACAGCTGGCATGTTCTGTATTTTTGCGGAACTGAGAGATGACTCTATATTCTGTTGTGTGTTCATATGCAATTCTTTGGTATTTGACCTTTTCTTTTCTAGTGCTTTTCATCTACTGTACTGTAAGAGCTATTTACAGCAGTGTAATGAAAACAATCTTTTCTTAAAACTTATTGTTGAATTTCACTGTATCTGCTCTATGTTGTTTACTGTAAGAGACATTGAGCTGTAAAATGATACCTGATTGCCAAAAGAAGGCTTTTGCAACAGTGTTATGAATTGATCTCAATAGTGTGGTAGACTATTTTGTAGTGTGTGTGTTTTTGAGGGTTTGTGTGTCATGTCTAAGGGCAAAGATTCAATCTTTTGAAGATTGAAAGATTGAAAAAGATTTCAGCAAGATTGAATGGTTTTGAGTGGAGAGCTTCATTTTGACCTGAAAATAGGAAGTATATGGAATTAGGTGAGAAGTTATGGATTTGTGTTTAGAGTTTTGAGAAAAGGAGTCACAATTTCAAGAAATGTGTTTAAGCAATCGAGAAAAACTGTAATATCAAACAACTTAAGAAACCCCTTATTTATGATTGTAAGGGTGCTATGGAAATTATTTACAGTATAATGAATGGAAATTATTTACAGTATAATGAAAATGAATTAAGACTGGGCCTGTCAAACTAAAAAAAATGACAATCAATAAATAATAATACATACATAAAAATAATCATATATGTGAGTCCATATGATTCTTCATTGAAATTATATTCACAGTCGTCTGAAATTATGCAATCACTTTTATGATGCTTTTTTTGTGGTTGTTGTTGTTATCTCTTAAGAGTTTAGGAGTCCTTATTTACTTTCATTAAATGGAAAAGGTATTCACCTAAAAGTTCACCTTTTACGCTCTATGGCAGAAAGGGAGTAGTACAGAATTTTGAAGGAATTAGTATAAATAAAGAAAACCTAAGAAGGATTGTCTCTGGATCAACAATAGGTCACTCTAAACGAGAGAGAGAGAAGATGCACTTACATGTTTGAAACTACTGATGACACTAAGAAGGTTCAGTGAGCCACTCACATGAACCAAATTCATTTGAAATCTACAAGATAAAACCACAACTTCATAATTGTGTCCAGTAAGAAAGAGGGTATTTTACTCTTTAGTAGCTGAAATCAGAGCATGATCATCCCCAGTGTCTTCAACATGATAACCCAACAGAGACAGTTCGCTGTCTTCTGTCTGCAAACACAGCTAACACTCCATTAACAGCCACTGACACTCACCACACATGCACTCCTCATGAGATCTGCACAAGAGACACATGTTTGACAGTGATACGTTTCCAGGCTAATGAGTACAAAACATGCAAAGCTCAAACATATATCTGGTAAAACTGTTTCTATGAATATCTATCAGTATTCAGTAATGAATGAAATATATTTATATTTAAACCTTGATTCTGCAGTCCAGAGTTATCTTTAACTCAAGTCAAGTCAAGTCACCTTTATTTATATAGCGCTTTTAACAATACAGATTGTGTCAAAGCAACTGAACAGCATTAATTAGGAAAATAGTGTGTCAATAATGCAAAATGACAATAGTAAACACAATTTTTTCAGTTAAAGACAGTTCATCATTGAATTCAGTGATGTCAACATCCAGCTCAGTTTAAATAGTATCTTTGCAATCAAGTCAACGGTATCGCTGGAAATGAAGTGTCCCCAACTAAGCAAGCCAGAGGCTACAGCGGCAAGGAACCAAAACTCCATCAGTGACTAAATGTATAGCAATAAAATCAATCAATCAATAAAATAAACATTCCTGAACTAACATAAAACAAAAATATACATTTATTTATTAAACTTATTTCATTTCTCGTTTTCATTTAGTTTAAGTACTAAAATAAATACAACTAAATAAACATAAATCTGTATATACTTTTTTATATACATAAAAACAAAAAGAAATAAAAAACAGAATTACTGTAACTTTAACAAAAATGAAAATATAGAAATAAAATCGAATTCAGAATATTAACAAAAAACTAATAGCATATTAATGACACTAAAATAACATTGCTGCAGTCTTCAGTGAACATTTTCACTGAGCTTATTGCGATGCATTCTGGCATTGCCTCATCCAGATTTAGCAGATTTTCAAGAAAACATCATTAAGCTGGGTGTATGCCAATGATGTACACCCTGTCTAGGTATGCAGTACACTAAAACAATGAGATATGTATTTGCATTATTAAAAAAATAAATAAATAAATTTAAAAAAAAAATCATTGCATCATTTTATCTTGAAATCCTGTTGCCACCTATCTGCATTCAGCTAAGAAAAAAAATCTGCAGCCTGAAGCACAGGTTATACCCCACATTACAGTTTTTCTGAATTGCTAAAGCACATTTCTTGAAACCATCACTCATTTTCTCAAAACCTTAAACACAAATCCAAACCTTCAAACTAAATTCACAGAACCCCTGACTCTTCTGGCAAAATCAAACAATCACTTCAAAACCATTTCACCTGTATTCAAAATCAAACAAAGCTTTCAAATCACACACACATTAGTCAATAATATACACACTACAGATCATTCATTAGACACTACAGAGACAAATGGAGAACACGGTTTCCAGTGCATGTACAGTAGTTACAAAAACAAATGTTTATTGTATTTAGTAAATATTTTGCAATAAACACACACACACACAAAATAAATCACACCTAGGTTTGGTGAATATTACAGTTTTTCACATTTGCTAAGACACTAAACCCCATTCTCTAAACCAAATTCTCAATAGCATAAACCAATTTGTCAAATAAATCACTCTTTCTGCAAAACAAGTTCAGGTAGGCAACAGGGAAAAAAACCCTCTGGTGTGGCTCTTGGTCTGGCTCTTCCTCGTCCTCCTCTTCCTCCACCTCGTATACGCACTCTTCCGTACCTCTCAGATTGATGGATGCACCCATGCCATCTGTGCACTTTGAACTGGCTTATATTTTGTACATTCACATATTTAGAAACAAGTGTGAACAGTTTTGAAGTATTGTGTATCAGTTTATGTGTATAAGTTTATCACAGTGCAAAATGCATTTTTAGTGAGAATGTGTTTAGAGTTTTGCAAAAAGGGTGCATGAGATCTGCAAACAGTGTCTAAACTGCCAGAACGTGTTTAAGGTTTTGCAGAAAGAGTGATTTATTTGACCAATTGGTTTAGGCCAGTGAGACTTCGGTTCCGAGAATGGGGTTTATTGTCTTTGCAAAGATTATGACTTAATCAATCTTTGTCTGCCTTTTAACCCTGCAACATCTGAGAGCAATTTTACCCTTTTAGCCATGACCCATAGGTTCCTCATGAAGTGAAGTGCAGACATAGGAAAAAGAAGTGGCATGTGGCTGAAAATTATGAGGATCTTACTTGGATTTGCCTAGAGACCATTTACATTGCTGACAATATTATCCTCCTTTAAGTTTTTCGTTAGAATGCAATTTATATACCAGCTATATTAATGGACATTTTCAAATAGATGTTAAATAAAAATATAAATTGCCGTTTCACAAAGTGGATGTTGAACCAAATCAACGCTTGAAGTTCTCCCTTGACTTCAGGAGGATCTTACCCAACAGATAATAAATCCTTTTTTGTTTTTCTTCAAAAGCTGAACAGGTGGGCAAGACAATGTATCACACAACTACCTCATTACCTCGCTAATAACTCATCACAGTGTTGGTTATGTATTACCTGATAGCCCATCTCACTAACTTTTCTTCATAGCTGTTCATCCATATATCTCCTAAAGCATTTAACCTTTTGAGCATCTGAACTTCTGAATATCTGTAACCTTTTATATTTCAAGTAAAATACATTTGAATTAGATCAATATGTTGACCCAAGCTCTGAGTAAATTGTAGTATGATGATTATAAGCCTATTAGTAAGTAAGTGTAGGTTAATTAGCTCCAGAGACACATAGCTTAATTTGCTGCCCAGTTCTCTCTATTTATACATGTAATACGTGGTTCAGATTTCATTCTTCTAGAAGCTTCGTTTTTTCTGTTTTCTCTTAGGAATGTGGTCACATTTCCCTGGATGTTTCCTGCACTGCCACACAGGGAACTGTGTGGCGAGAATTTTGGTTCCGCAGTTTTATAAAAGTTATTTAAACTCCTCAGTGATAGCCTGACTGAAATAATTCACCATCTCAGTTTATCTTTGACCATAGGATTGGGAAATAAACAGAAACACATGTACTTGAACTGACAGTGGAAATGAAAAAAAAAAAACTCATTGTCTAATGTTCCTCCACTGGTTTTACAAACTGCTTTATAAAAAATTTAAATTCCAAAGTAAGAGTCAAATTGTATTACCATCACGATTTTGGATGAAACAGAAATTAATAAATAAACAACATTCACAGTCTGGGGAACACTGTTCCACATATAGGCCACTGCTAGAAAAAAAAAAAAAAAAAACTGTCAGAGTGTTACATGGAGACTCAAATGAGAGAACATGTGAGAACCCAAAACAGTTTATTGACAATACAGCAGATGAAACAGTTAAATATAATGCTGAATTTCGACATGTAGGCTTATTTTAAAATAGACTAATATGTATGTGGTGTAATTTTTTTTAATGTTGTGTATAAACTATATTTATTTTTACTTGAACAGGTTAAAGAAAAAATAATAATAATAAAAATAAAACTGTAATACTAAACCGTATAGCCACTAGATGTCTGCATAGCCTTTTATATAAATATACAGCCTGAAATATCTAGATGGTGAAACAAGACACGATTTTTAATAGTTTCAAATAGTTTTTCTATAATTTTTATAAGTTTTAATTTTAAAGTCATAGTTAAATAAAAGTACTTAGATATTGCTTTTTTGACTTATTTACGTATGTAACTTGAAGTAATCCAAAATTAATCAGATTGCATTACTTTTATATTGTGATACTTGGATTGTGTTACTGAATACTTTTTTAATTAGTAATTTGTAACTATCACGGAATACATGAAGGTGAAGGTGATGGAGTATTTTATACCCTGTTATAAAATAACTATTTGGAGATAAGCATTTTGCTGTAACTCACAAAATCAGACCACTAAAAATTTGACACTTGATATAATGTCAATTACTGTACAAATCGCTTGCCCAATTTCAGACACCACAAGTCATGTGCTTTGCAGGCCATTGCTGCTGACACACTGGGTTTAACCTGATTTGTATATAGACTCATGAACTCTTCAGCGGTCTTGAAGAGTGAATGTACTGCTGAGTTTACTTATATCTCTAACCAAACACACCAAACAAGCTAATCACAGTGTTCAAAATTATTTGTGAATTAGAGACAGGGGTATTTGATTAGGGATGGAATTAAAGTCTGCTGGACACCGGGCCTCCAGGACTGGAGTTGAGGAGCCCTGTCCTACACTGTACCCACATAGATCCCAAACCAACTGCCCACTCTGTACCTAGTAACTATTTGGGTACTACCTAAGGCCCATGTAGTCAGACTATATGGGACTTGATTATGTTTGCTCATGTCTGACCCATTTGTTAAACCCATATGGGCCCTATTTGTGTTTCCTATTTTGAGCCCATGAACTCATTCCCCATTAGTGACCCAATAGGACCCACATAGGGAGCCCACCTGTTTTCGCCCATGTGGGACCTACTTAGCTGACCCAAGTGGGCCCCAAATAAGATGCCCATTTTGGGACCATGCCCACTTGGTACCCATGTAGCCCAAGCATAATCCACATGGGGCCCACATATACATGTTGGCTGGGTATCTATCTAGCTACATTTTAAGTTTATTAAATAAGGATTTAATGGCATCTTTATAGCTTCAGCTAAAGAATTTACAAGAGACTCTCTGCAGTGCACAAAGATGAAGGAAAAGATAGGATCTACTCTGCCTTGACCATGTGCTAAAACATTGAGGATGATGAACAGGTATACAGTCCGAGACAAGGTCTCTGCAGATAAGAAAATCAGTTGACCATCCTATTCTTCACTGATAGCTTCTGGCCTTTGACAGTATTGTCTGTATAAGCAGTGTATTCCAGTTTTAGGGAGTAACTAACTAAAGTAGCCATGCTACTGACCTAACAACATTATTTAGTAGTGTATAATTTGCTAAGCTGTTTTTAAAACTGTAAAGCTCTTTCAAAGGATTTGTGGTGCAATATTTGTAACAAGGTGTTGCAGAGTGATCACTAATTTATTATATTACACATGCAGATTTACAGCTTAGCAAATTGTGCACATAAGCAAATGTGTATCTAATTAACACCCTAATGACCCCTTCAAGGCATCTTGTCTCTTAAGTGGCAAATGCTGGATTACATAATTTTGAGAATTTATACTAAACACACACAATACCATATGACTTTAATAGAATTTATACATGAAGAATACCCATTTGTAATTTTACTAAAATCATTAAAAAACACAATGTATTTTAACATGAAAAATGCAGTTCAGCTGATATTTTAAACAGTAGTTCAATTCAAAAACATTTGAAAACACTTAAAATTTGAGTTAACATTCAAATATACATATAATACATGTACGGTTATACATTGATCTTTTATAGACAGTGTCCATTCAATTTTGTCTAAGCAAGTTTTTTTTTTTATTATTATATCTAAGCAAGTGATATTCAGCCAACAAGGTCTGATGATAGTGCAGGAAGGTTAAGGTCTGTGATGAGTAAAAATCTTTTTAATCACATTGCCAGAAGCCTCCCACTGGCTGAATCATTGCCATCACTGCATTTACTGATGGCCTGATGACTGATCTATGTGGAACCCCATTCTGAGAATGTATTCTTGGGCCAAAGCTTTATACATATTCAGCCATTGTGAGTCACATAAAGAGATTACACACTCAAGAAGAATGTGCACATCCTGAGTGCTTTCTCCAGGTGCCTCCTCAGAATAAAAGGTGAAACTCCTAGGGCTGTGAAATGCAGTATGATTCACAGCACATGTGTAACTGTTGATGGAGGGTAGCATGAGGATGCAGGAAGTGGCTGGGTGTTTTGCGTGTACATAAAATGCACCTGGACCCTGATAAAATAATAAAGATTGTCTGTGGGTGTTTTTGAGTAAGGTTTTACTGTCAAATGTCCACAAAAAAACCTTCATTGTGTGGACCTGAGGAAGGTTCCTATGATGAAAACAGTTTTATACACTGTAAAAAATGAAAGTCTGCAGTTGGTACCTTAAGAACTTCTTTCTTTTTTCCTTTTTTTTTTAATAAGAATTACTTTCGTTTGTGTAACCTAAAAATCTGATTGTTTCGTTCGTATCAAATCACATATTTGACATAAATAAACCAGTTAAATTACATACTACATCACATGGAGCACACTTATGAGAAAAAAAAATCCAGTTTAGAGGCACTAGATAATTGTGTGTGTGTGTGTGTGTGTAATATTAATAAAGTTAATATTAGTTAATGAACCTGAGCTTACATTAACTAACAATGAACATATGTATACAAAAATTAATAAATATGGTAACACATATATTGTTCATTGTTAGTTAATGATAGTGAATGCATTAACCAATGTTAACTTAATTCTGTACATTTAATCACTTTTTCTTGTATTGTGTAAAGTATTTCTTAATTACATCTGAAGAAAGAGAGAGAGAGAGAAAGCAGAGACCAAAAAAAGCACCACAAAAGTCTAAATGACTTGTGCTGCATTTTGAATCCATACCTAGCCATTGGTATCTTACATTCAGAAAACTTGCAGCACTCTATGTGAGGAGCAAAGCAAATCACATGGTTTCAATACCTGAAAATTTTCCTTCTCTGTGAAAAAGAAAAAAACAGCCAGCTCACATTTAAAAGATAAATCTAAAATTTACCATGATGCAGACTGTCACAAAGACGCACACGAGCAAATGACATTAGACATCAAAGATATGGCAAAACTTCTTCAGACAGCAGTTTTTGAATGTGTGCAGGATTTCAGCATCAGCGTTCGGAATGGCGTCATGGTTAAATTTGGGTCTGTTCTTCATGCAACGCAATTGTTTGGCCTCAATAGACTTTGAATATTTGCAATTTTTGCAAATTTTCTGAAAAAAATCAATAAATAATAATAATAATAA